CACGAGGCCAGGTGAAATATGTTTTCAATGTGCTCCCAGAAGACTCTGAGTGTTACTCATTGACCACATTATAACTTGTCTCCTTGGTGTGTCTGTGAGCTTAAGGGGTGGTTTTGTTTTTGGCCTATCTTGAGCATCTGGCATAAGACCTACCATATCATAGCTTTGGCAAAATATTACTTGGACAAATGAATGAGTGCATTCCATATTTGAAAATACAAGGGAAAACATGATATATTAAATTGATACTTGAGATGAAAGAGGGGAAAAACTTACTTTATTTCAGTAATGTATATTTGGTACATGCATAGGAAACAGTGCAATATTTTAAATATGGTCCTGAATATAGAGACCAAAGAAACGATCTCTAAGGAGTTTCCTTTTTATGTGGAAATGAATAGTGTGCTGCATGTGAAAGGAAAATGAGGCAGAGTGATTTCTCAGGCTGCCCTTGGATAGTTCTTTTGCTCAGTTATTGAAGGGCATTGCCCTGATTTTAGAATTTCTGGGTCATGGGAATTGGAATTACAAACCTGAAATGTTGATATGAAAAGATAAGGGAAACTTGATTTCTGAATTAAATATGCTGGGAACATACACCTTAAGTAGAATAAGAAAATGAAACAATCTTACTCACCCAGGAAAGGATTTATCTATTCATCAAGCAGAAAACACTTTTCTGAAACGTTTGCAACCATACTATGTTGACACCTGGTCTTCACTTTAATACAAAGAGCTCAGCGACTCAGTCATCAGCAAAACCACCTGCTCTATAATAATTCTTATTTTACCTTCCCTTTCACCTGAACCTTAGTCAGATGGATCACTTGATATTGACCTTGTATTTGGTGAGTGAACAATTCAATGCTTAGGGAATGACCTTTTATGATTTTAGAGGACATCTATTGTTTTGCCAGGCCTGCAAACCATTCACTCCTTTCCTAGTAATAGCACCCTGATTTTTCTTAAGACATCACCTGCTCCTTATGGTTGGTTGGGGCTGATCACACCCCTTGGTCCAACCATGGACAGGTAAACCAGCCTTAGCTAATTAGAATACTGAGTCTGCTGTCCATAGTGATTGGTTCAGGAATGAGCATGTTAGCCAAGCCCAGCCAATCACAGCAAATCCAGTACTTTGGTTTTAAGAGTTGGAAAAGAGATGTGCTCTTTCCACAGGATTTGCTGAGAAGATAGGTGCACACCTGGAGCTGCTGGCAGCCATCGTGTCATTTTACCATCAAGACGGGACAACTGCCTGAAATCTGAGCCAGTAGAGAGAAAAGCAGAGCTGAGAGACACAGAGGGTCATAGTAAGCCCTGGTGACATGCTGTGAGCCTCAGGATCCAGCCACACCCAAAGCTAAGTTAGTCTCTGGATGTAAGCCAATAAATCCCTTTTACTAAAGTTAGTTGGAGTAGGTTTTCTGTCCCAGGCAACCAGAAACATCTTGTTTAATAGCTCAGTCATGGAAAGAATTGACACTAATGGATCAGAGAGGGCATTCCTGTGAACACTGCCTTCCGAATGCCTGTGTTCCTACAGGGGCATTTCCTGGATTGTGAGGCTGCCCTTCAGTGGTCCTCATTCACACAGAAATTCGAGAACAAGTGAGTTTTTGCCTAATGGTTTCTTTGACCAATTAGTCCTAGTGGAGTTCATTGAAATGCCTCATGAAGACCTCCTGCAGCAGGCTCTGGTCTTTGCCTGTGCCTGTGCCTGTCATGCTCGTAAATAGGCCATCTTAATTAGAAGAGTCTCTCTGACAACTGATAACTTTGCTGCATTCTTAAATACCTTACCTCCTGATTTTCTCTCAAGTAATTTGGGACTTTCTGTCCCAAATTTCCAGGGTTAGAGTTTAATATGAAAATAGCCTAGTTTTCTTTAATCTTTCTGCATCTAAGTCTGACATCCACAATTTGACCTGTCCTGGTAGATAATAATAATGCTCTATAGTTATATCTAGAGTGTTTTTATGTTTATTTTCTTATTTAATTTTCCCAATAATCTTTTGGGGTAGATATTTTCTCCGAGGTCTTGTAAAGCCCTAATTCTGTTTCTATATTTAGAAATAGGAGAAATACATATTTTAATATCTATTAAAGAATGTGAACACATGCCCTGGCTGTGTAGATGAGCTGGTTGAAGCTTCGTCCTGATGCAACAAGGCTGCAAGTTCGATCCCCGGTCAGGGCACATATAAGCCAACCAATGAATGCATCAATAAGTGGAAAAACACATTGATGTTTCCCTCCTTCTCTCTCTCTCTCAAATCTATCAATAAAAAAAATGTAGAAGATGTGAACACTTACAAAAGAATGTAAAATTATGACGATTAGGATGAATATGTGGATCAAGATAAAAATCTTGAGACAAAAAATCATTTTAACCATCATGAAAAAACAGCTGAGTGGACACTTCAACTGGAACACAGGTAGCACTTGCGGACTAAATAGAGGCATCACAATAACCCCTGACCCCATCCGTGGTGGTGCTGGGCTCTTTTCTTTTACAAGTTAGATCTTCTAATACTTTGCATTAATCAATGATGGGAGTGGAGGGGAAGGTTAAAGCATATTTCATTATCTAAAAACAAACTCACAGAAAAGCATCTATTAATTTTCAAAACTGCAAAGGTTGCCAGGCATCCATGAAACTGCCACTGCCGAATGCATTAAAAATGCTGAGTAGTGCAAACAACGGGAAATTGCTATTCATGGAAATTGAGCACTTGGCTGGGGTGGGTATGAGCTCCCTGGCCTGGAAGAAGCTCTGGACAGCAGAGTCCAGGCTCAGCAATCTCTCTAGAAGCAGAAGCAAGTGTAGCCTGGAGTAGGCAACCTTCTCTAAGGTGTTCTTGAGGACAGGGCACGTCTCCTGCCCCCTGCATCACCTTATGTTATACCACAGCGCCTGAAATTCTACTGCATCATCCTTTGGTTTGGGTCTTGAAAGGCTTTCGGCCTCANGAGGTGTTCTTGAGGACAGGGCACATCTCCTCCCCCTGCATCACCTTATGTTATACCACAGCGCCTGAGATTCTACTGCATCATCCTTTGGTTTGGGTCTTGAAAGGCTTTCGGCCTCAGAGGCTCCTCTGGAGGATGACACCACAGGTCACTGTGAGGATTAGGAGACATTTGGCTAAGAGTAAAACCTTATAGAAACAGGATTTAAGCTAGATATCCTGGCGATAGTGTTAAAAACCAGACAAAGTGGGGCGGAAGAGGTAGAAGAGGGTATGGGGGGATAAATGGTGTGGAAGGAGACTTGACTTGAGGTGGCGAACACAGTGCAACGTACAGATGAAGTATTGTAGAATTATATACCTGAAACCTATATAATTATTTTAAACAATGTCACCCTAATAAATTCAATAAAAAAGAAAAAAAAAAAGAAAGAAATAAAAACAAGATGACAAGCCCCAAATGGAGTTGCTTATGCTAATCCCCACATCACCAAATGGAGACTTAAATACAGTTTCAACTACCCCAGAAATGGAATCTTAAACCAGTCCATGAGGAATCACCTGAGCAGCCCTAGTTAGGTAATCTGCCTGATAAGCCCCTGCCATCCCCTAAAGGAAAGTAACTTTGCAATAACTAACCCGCCTATTTGCCTGGTGCAGTGACTTCCTTTTTCCTGCTCTTTTCTGTCTATGAAAGTTATTTTGTACAGCTTTTTGGAGCTCCTCTCTATCTGCTGGATTGGATGTTGCCTGATTCATGAATTATTGAGTAAAGCCAATAAGATCTTTAAAATTTACTCGGTTGAATTTTTTTGTTTTTAAACAAACAGTAAGGAAAGAGGAGGGCTGAAAATGGTGGGGGAAGGGGAAAGAAGGGTCACAGGTGGCAGCTACAAGATGTAAACTCATTTCACAAATCTGCTTAGAGCTGGCCTCAGGGAACAACAAGCCACAGTTTCTCCAAAAGTTATATGAAAAATTCCACAAGTTTTCCATTTTCTGTAATGTTTAGGAAGGTTTATTACTTTTCTAAATTTGCCCATATTCTTTTTAAGTTACTTGGAAACTGTGGCATCTGCCTTCAGCAAAAATACTTAAACTTCCCCCATATTCACACATTTATCCAAAATCAAATATATTATCAGTTTTAATAAAATTATTCAAGAACTGTGCATGATTTACTCAGGCTTCAGCACATTTATTTAAAGCTTGTTGTACATAGGGACAGACTGTTATGTTAAAACCAAGGAATAGAGATTGATTTGTATACTAAACATAGTTGGATTGAATTATAATCTTTTATTTTTTATCTTCACCCGAGGACAGATTTTAGAGAGAGGAAGGGAGAGAGAGAAAAAGGGAGAGAGATGTGAGAGAGAAACATCGATTGGTTGCCTCTTGTATGTGCCCCAATTGGGGATGGAACCTGAAAACGTAGGTATGTGCCCTGATCAGGAACTGAACCCACAACCTTTGGTGTAGGAGACGATGCTCCAACCAACTGAGCCACCTGGCCAGGGCTGATTGAATTATAACCTTAGGGGAAACTTTTGTTAAGACTCATCTCATTCCTTAAGATTTGCTTGTATCCAAGTAGTCCAGCAGTGCCTGCACATGGTACACTCTCAATAAATACTCGTTTTAAAAATACATTTAATTATGATAGAATTAAATAATAAAAGACTAATAATTAAACTACTCTTCAAATTGTAAGCAGAAAAAAAGGATAGTTTCACAACTATTGGAAAAGTTTGCTGTGGTATAAAAGCAATGTAAAATGCATATTACCCCAAGACAAACATGCTCACATACGTAAGCACCCCTCCCTCCCACGCACGCACACACATTTAAACCCAGAAATAACATCTCTTTACTCTCTAACTCCCTTGGGCACATTAATGATATCTGAAATTTATAAGATATTAATAATTGAAAGTTGTAATGAAAAAATTCAAGAACAGGGCAAAAAAAAAAAAAAAAGATCAGACTTAGTTTGTAAAGATTGATTTTTTAAAGAAACGCACTTACGCCATTTGGACTGTGGACCCCAGAAAGGAGGGTATGCAGTAGTCAGCAGCTGCCAGCGTATACGGCGGGCGAGCAGCGGAATCGTCCCAGTAGATGTCCTTCTTCATCTTGGGCAAGCTCATGTGCATTTCATCCACAGCTAAAAGAGAGACCTGAGAGCATTGTTGTAGTGTTAGCCTCATTCAGATGGGAACTGCATGAAGACAGTAAGTCCCAGGGGGTGGATGGGATTTGGAGTGGGATGGAGCACAGCCTGGTGAGTGAATATACAAATGTCTGCAGCTCTTATTTGCTGCAACAGGGCTGCTGCAGAGAGTTGTACTTGGCAGTGGGGGGTAAGTGGGGCTGTAAAACTGCCCAGACTGGGCTCGTCAAGCCACATGTCTCCTAGTAAAGCTGCTTCTCACTTGGAGGCATGAGAAGCACTTTTTTCTTCTTTGCTCAGAGTTACCATATTGCCTATCCTGACAGCAACCACAAAGCCCAGTCTCAATATCCCATTCTGTTGATTCCATAAACACATTTATACGTGATATCATTTTTTATGTGCCTTGAGCTTTTTGTTTGTTTGTTTGGAAAAGTGTATCAACACCCTATCCTGCTTGGGGCTATAGTAGTCTCTCCTCTTGACTTTGACAAACTGATGCATGAGTAAGTTATTGACCCTCTGGGAAGCCACGTTGTACAGAGTGAGTGGCCTAGGCATTGTGATTCTTCCCTAGCAGACTGATAATGTGATTATTGAGGGAGGTGACTGAGAGGATGTGACCACCATTTGACCCAGGAGCTGAGCTGGGCAATTGGAGGCTCCTCACCCTGCTTCCTTGTCCTTGGAATGTGTGTTTTGGTCACAGTGGGAACTGTCTTCAGGGACACAGGCTGGAGAGAGCAACGTGTTGAGACCATCAGAGTGACATACGTGACTGAACCCAGCCAGTTAAGGCCTCTGTATAAACTTTGAAGCTTCCGTCAGTTGTGTGCAGAGATCCACTGATCTTGTGGTCACCCAAGATAGGCCTTGTGTATAAGTGTCCCCTTGCTTATTAAACCTGCCACCTGCCAGTCCGGGGTAGCCTGCTTCTTTTTTCAGTCTCCCCTTGCCCTCCACATACAGGGGCCAGTTTGCAAACCAATAGTGACCGATGGTGAAACGTCTGAATCTGTTTAATAGCTGAGTAAGGGCTTGAAACAAATAGACAAGCTGAAGCCTCCTCACAGTCTGTGGTTCTCAGGGTAGAGAATGGTCTGAGGAGAGTCTCGCCTAAAAGGAAAATGATTTTATGCTGGTTCTTCATGGATAGTCTCTCTGGAATAATGCCTCAGGGAAGGGGCCCTGAGGTCCATTAGGTGCAATTCAGGAAGATTTGGGACAGAGGCCAGTGTGGCCTATGCTCCTAGTGTCCAGCTGATGGACATTCTATGGCAGGGACCTATATGATGTGAGTTTGGGAGCTCACATCAGACTGTGTCCTGCTGCCATTTTATGTCTCTGTTAACCTCTCTGGGTGACAATAGAAAACAGATTAAAGAATGAATTAACATATTGTTCTGTTCTGAGATGGAAGAGGCTGTATAACACTAATAATAAAACTTACAAAGAAAACTGACTTGAAATTCTGCTTAGAAGGGAATTTCACTGAAACTGAAATCCAGGAGCTATGAGGTTCCAGAAGGACCTTGGACAACATACCAAAGAGCCGAACTCCCTTTGTTTGTGGTGAAAGCTCTGAAGTTCAGGGGCCCGTATTCAGACGCTGTTTAGATTTTAAACACCACAAGTAATTTATCATTAATGTTTGTAAAGGAGAGAAAAGTTCGTCTCACCTGCAAATTTCTGTCAATGCACCAGTTCGTTTCAAAATCATCATCATCTTCTCCAAAAGGGTTGATAAGCTGCTCAGCTACCTGCAGGGAGAACACAGAATAAGTCAGTCTCGATGCTTGTGAAGACTCGGAATAAAGGTTGAAGATGATTCCTGTTTCACCCTGTTTTCTTTTGTCGATTTCACCATCTGAAGCCTAGAGGGGAGTGGGTTCTACAGACACAGATATTTATCAGCAAACGAGACTGGACTCTCCGACCATGAACGATGACCTGCAAGGGCAGGTTCTCAATGGATCTGCCTATTTAGCTGGTGACAATTCAGGCTCTATGCAGGAGAACCCATGGACTTTTAGGAGTCAAATAAGTGATTTTCAGGTACAAATCAAACCAGTGAATCCCGAAGAAGCACTAACAGTAAGCCAGGCTCTGCACTAGGCACCGTGAGGGCTGCACAGCCTGTGCTCTTAAGGAATTTACAAAGGCCCAGGTGATGAGACAAAATATAGACATGAGAAAGGTTGAAAGAGCAAAGAAAGAGTTAAATCACAATTAACAAAAATAATACAAGGAGCTTTCATAATTATTGGATATAACTGTTAAATGAGTGAGTTAAAGAGCCACTAAGTCATAAAGCTGGAATTTGTCTTACTTCATTTTACCCTAAAGAACTTGTTATCTAGTGAATTAGTTTTCTGACTGGGAAAAGTTTAGGTAGCTTCCTATCATATATCTTCTAATAGTCGCTCAATATTATATGTTCTTACCATGTCCTGAATTGAGTAGCCTTCTTGATGATTTATATGCCAAATATGATTCACCTGTTACTCTCATTTTTGAGTACTTCCCTTTGACTTTTAGTGTGTGCATGTGTGTGTGATTTTTCATTGGGCCTAGATGGGAAAAAGTTACAAGTGTATAAAATAAAGGCACCATTGATTAGTAGTTTATAGATTCTGAGACTATTTGGTAGAAAATCTGCCTATTTATTTTTTAGGATTTAAGTCTAACAGCTTAGAGGAGTTGTTCTCAACCTTAGCTGAACAGCAAAATCACTTGGAGAGCTTTTAAAATAAGTGATGCCTGGGTTCCTCCCCCAGAAATTCTGATTTAACGGATGTGAGGTTCAACCCAGGCATCAGTATTGGGTAAAACCCCTAGGAGATTTTAATTAATGGCCAGGGTTGAGAACCACCATCTCCCTTAGGGCCTGAATCGGTCAGCCTCTCAGTAGTATCCACATCAAAGTCCTTTACTGCAAGTTTCAAGGGGCTCTCTATCCTTTCTTGCCTGGGGTTTTCCTTAAATTACATGGGCCACTGGATGGGTCTTGAATATATTTTTGTTATATCCAAAATTTCACTTTTATGGGATCAGCCCTACATACAGTAGTAGAGTCTACATTAAAAAAAAAAAAGTCTTTATTGATTTCAGGGAGAGGGAGAGAGAGATAGAAACATTAATGTTGGGAGAATCATTAATCAGCTGCCTCCCGCACACCCCCTACTAGGGATTGAACCCGAAACCTGGACTTGTGCCCTGACCAGGAATCAAACCTCGATCCCTTGGATCATAAGTCAGTGCTCAACTGCTGAGCCACACCGGCCGAGCTAGAGTCTACATTTAACTACCACAATGATATATATGTCTCTGAATTAACTCTCTCACAAAAGTAATTTTTACTTTTTGGAGGCTCCATTTTAAAAAATAACTGAATTATATACTGTTCATAAAAATAACTGAATTATATACTGCTCATAAGGTTAGATGGATTTCCTACACAGTGTAAAGAGTTATAAATACTAGAATGGTCAAGATAAAGCAGCAGTTTAGAAATTGAGATACAACCTATGGTGATAAAACTCACTTCTTTTAGGGTTGCCTACTCTTAAGGAGCTAAGATTGTCTTTTCACATTTTTTCTTGAAAAATATTTTATAAAAGAAAAGAACATTAATATTTTAGAGAGCCTGTCAGAAGGCAGGAACTGTTCCTTGTAGGCTGACCGAATACCTCACATGACACAAAACAAAGACTAAAAAGCTCAGCACAACTCGGGGGAAGAACAATAAAAGAGCAGAATGATTAAACACATGGGCCAGTTTTGGTGACTTTTCTGTTTATAAAAATAGAGTCTAGCCCTGTCTGAATAGCTCAGTTGTTTGGAGTGTCATCCATAAACCAAAAGGTTGTGGGTTCAATTCCCGGTCAGGGCACATACCTAGGCAGGGGTTTGATCCCTAGTGGGGGCACGTGCAGGAGGCAGCCAGCTGATGTTTCTCTCTCACATCGATGTTTCTCTCCCTTTTCCTCTCTTTAAAATCAATAAAAAACATATCCTTAGGTGAGGATTAAAAAAATAGTCTACTTTTTTTTCTAATGGGAAATGAGAGTGATATCACATTTGGCATAATATTTAATGACACATTATCATTTCTTCAAGTCGAGTAAGTCTTAGTATCAGAACATACTCCCTTTTATAAAATCATGTAGACTTTTGAACATATCAAAAGCTCACGATGGAATCAAGCTCAACATTTTGGCATTTTTTTTGTATTTTAAAGAAAATTTGAGAATTTTCAACTATTATTTTTTAAGCATCTTGTCAGGAAAGTAACATGTGTTAGCCCTGTGGGGGAATAAAATGTGTACAAGTAAAAAAAAAAAAAAAAAATCACTGTCATCTGGTTGAAAATGTTTTTGCCATTTGTAAAAAATATGCCTTTACTCTTTGGAGTATAATTTGAGATGCCAACATAAATTACTTTTTCTGGTTAATATTCAAACCAACGAAAGTAAAGGCATCTTCAGGGAAAACACTGCTGCAGCCTGGAAGACCTCAACGTGCACTCCGACATGCTACTGCTTGGCAGGGCAGACACCTGGAAAGTCTACGTTATTAACATCATCTTCAAACTGTCATTAGATTTCAATTAACCTAATGTAGCCAAAGACTCCAATTTTTTTCATCACATACTGTATTTCTGTTTTTGAAGTTCCCCAAAGAGATGGAAGAATCAGGCTTCTGATATTTACACGTATCTCTAGGGAGAGGCGAGAGGAGGTGGTGGGAACAAGGAAAATTTCACACTGATGCTGGACAAGCCGCCCTCACTGTTCTAACCTGTTTTCAATGTACTGGCAGACCAGATGTTATCATTAGTTCTGGTGTTTCTGGTTTTGATTTCAATGAATTCTTTTCTGAGTCTCAAGTTCTAGTTTTGAAAATGGGATGCATTTAATATTGTGAGACAGCTAGGGGGATTTCAGGGAATCACAGCTAACTATCTGCAGAATCGAGCAGAACCAAGATAATAATATTAATGCGTACATCCAATATACAAGGCTTTTTATTTACTCTCTTTTACTGCCTCGTTGCTTATTGAGGTATAAAATATCAGTGCAGATACAGTGATTAGTTTACTTACATTATTGTAATCCTAATGGGAGCACACAAAGACTTAAAAAATCAATAGCCATAAAAGAGTCTTCTTGTAATCTCTTTGCATAAATGAGCTGCTTCAGTTGCTGCAATACGGTACTTACCAAGTCCCTGACACTTTAATCCCTGGTTGAAAAGGAATAACATCTCTGAGCTATTAAATGTTAAATCTACCTTGGACTCACGCAGGAATGATTTTCTAGACTCAGTGAAGGCTCAGCTTGCAAGTTTGGAACATGACAGAGATTACAGAATGGGTCTCATGACTCTGAGACTGGTGGCTACCTTGAGCCATCCTGCATAGAAGAAGAACTGCAGGAGAGTAAAGATTGGAATGTAAAGATCTAAGTCATGCCCTGCGTAGCCTTCGGTGGGATCCAAAAACTGGCGTCCAATCAGGCACGCAAAGAAGAAGGTGTAGACAGCCAGGGTGACAACCTGGAACAGAGAGAAAGCCGAGTGAGAGCGCAGCACCGGCCGGTGCCAGTGCCGGTGCCAAGGTGGGCGAGCAGAAACCACAGTCACGTGCACACACTGGGTACCTGGGTGTAAACCAGCGGGATCCCGACCCAGTCATAGCCGAATAAGAGGCTGCACCAAGAGCGGTATCGGTTCATTTCCTAAGCCAGAAACAGACAAAACGTGATTTGCTAAAGTGACAGGTGTGGTCATCAGTATTTACTAGGATCGGGAATGTGGCCATGTCTCTTATGACGATGTCTGTAAAATGAGGGACTGACTTTGTAAGGCTAATAAATTGGTTCTGAAGTCTACCCCAAAGGAAAATTCTGAAGACAACAAGCAATGACCTCAAAGGCTGCGGGTTCAATTCAACAATGTGCTAAAAGAAGTACATTTGAATATATATTTTTTAAATACTCAGGTAAATCAGGACCTTATAGAAGTATCTCCTGCTCTATTGAATCCATAATTTCCAGCATGACATTAGTCCAAACTGGTGATGGGAAGGCAGTGGTTAATATTTTCCATAAGTCATTTCTAGACGTTTTGGGATATTATGTGGAGAGCAGTTATTTTTGTTTGTTTTTCTCTTTTGAAAACATGCTTACTATAGATCTTAGAAAAAAGAAATAAATCCATCCTAGCCCCCTACCCCCTCCAAATGAGGATGCTTATATTGACAGAAAATCTATCTTTCTTTGAAGCAGGAAGGACTGGTATCTATTGATTTTTTCCCCCTCCTATTGCACATAAATTACTATCTGAGACCGGAAAGAAGAGTTCACATTCATTTAGGAGCTATTTTTAAATCATTCACTCCTCTTAGCCTAATCCAGGCAGGAGACCATCATGGCACAAATCTATCCAGCCCTTACATTCATTTGTTTCTCAGGTGAATTTAGGGTTATTTCACTGAATGAAAACACAATTTTGTTTCCTGGAGCATCTGAAATGCTGCCTTAACCTTGAACTATTCCAGTTTGGGGAACTGACTGGAGAGGTCCTGGAGCCAGGGATGCAAATATGCTGTGTGGGCACCAGATCCTTCAGGGCCCTTGGCAGACACTGTCAATCAATCAAGGGACACTTTCCTACAGAGCATATTACAAGCCCAATACTGTTTAATACAGTTTCCAAGCAACCACTGTCGATCAATCTGAGTTAGAACCTGTGTGCTGTTCTTGTCCTGCATGTTGAGGGGCCTGAATTAAACAAAGCAGATTCATCCTGGTCCAACCTGTCACATCTAGGTCCCTTTTGGTCTCTGCTTAGCATCTTTTTTTTTTTTTTTTTTTTTGACAGTTTACGATATACTTACAGTCATCAATGATTGCAGATCAACACTGTCTCTGATTCTACCTTCTTTTCGGGCTTTAGCTGCCAGATTTCCAAACCAGATGAACGGAACCCAGTATTTCAGATGAGGAGATTTGAGGTGGTCGAATAATTTCCTTTCATCTGTTGTCATAAAACCTTGACACAAAATAAAAACAGCTGGATTATACAGACTTATCTTAGCACTAATACATTACCATAAATATTTCAGTATCTGCTATGTGAGTCTATTATGGGGGAATATTAAAGAAACATCAGGGGTCCTGTCACAAGTAGTTTATACTTGTAGTAGAGATAAGGAATGTGTATGCACAAGCACACACACATGGTGCGTGAACACTATATGAGGCAATGTGGCGGCATTAAGTGTGGACTAGAACATCTGGGGAAGGTTTCTCCTTTAGGTTTTGATTTATTTACCTAAAACTGGGAACAAGAATACTTAGAATTGCTAGGATTAAAAGAATAAAGGGTGGCAATGTATACAAAGCACTTAGTATCGTATGGAAACACGGACCACGTGACTTTTCTCCTGATCACTCCCTTTAAAGTCCCAAGTAACCAGATCCTCAACTGTGAAGCCTTCCTCCCTGGATTTCTCTCCCTCAAAGCTCCCACCATGGGGCTCTCTCTTGCCTTGGGAAGGACAAAAATCATATTATTTTCAGAATTCTCACATCCTGCATCTACTTGGGAGGTGCTTCTTTAATTGCGTGTGTGTGTGTGTGTGTGGGGGGGTGTATGTGCATGTGGACCGTGTGTGTTTGTCACACAATTTGCTTGAGTTTGCAGAGGCCTCTCTAAGCCTTGGTTTTCTCGTGTGTAAAAGAGATGGTAATACGTACTTCGCTGGGATGTTGCAGAATTACCTGAGATGATGAACACGTGCCAAGAGATGAACAATGCCTAGCACAGGCTTAGCCCTCAGTCCTGTGAGGCATAATGTCCTATGTGGAACTTTAGCTACTCACCCCCTCCCGCCTGCACACCAAAGAAAGGGGAGATCTGAATAATAGGAGGAATAATGCAGCAGGTTTATTTAATAAACAAACATTGATTGACTGCCTACTATGTACCAGGGTTTGTTCATGCAAAGATTCACTTAAAAAGCTTATAGTTCATACTTAACCTTTTATTTAAAAAACTGATAGTAATTCAAATGATACAAAAACCCAAAAGAGCCAAAGGAATATTAATGAGGGAAGTGAGTGTCATTTTTCCAGTCACACAGTTTCCTCTCTTAAGGAAATCACTACAACTTGTTTACTGTGTATCTTTCCAGAGAAATATAATGAATTTCATACAATCCTAACTTTTAAAAACACAAATGGCTTTATACTACATACATATGCATCATTTGCTCCTATTTTCAGTTACACCTTGGAGACATTATTTGTTAATATGTAGAGAGCAGTATCATTCTTTTTAACGGCTGCATCCTAGTTAATTATATACAGTATTTATTTAACAGGTCCTTATTTTTTTTTTTAAATCCTCACTCGAGGATAGTTTTTCCATTGCTCTTCAGAGAGAGTGGAAGGAACAGAGCAAGAGAGAGAGAGAGATTGAAGCACGGATGTGAGACAGACACATCAACTGGTTGTCTCCCGCTCAAGCCTCGCCCTGGCCCCGAGGATCGAGCCTGCAACCGAGGCACGTGCCCTTGGCTGAAATCGAACCCGCGACCCTTCAGTCTGAGGGCCAACGCTCTAACCACTGAGATAAACTGGCTAGGGCACGAGTCCTCTTTTTAATAGATATTTAAGTTGTTTAAAAATTTTTGTTTATTAAAAATAGTGCTGCCATGACTATGCTTGTACTTACCCCTTTGACTTCTTAGTGGACTTTTAAATATTCATTATGATTTAATATAAATAATATTTTCTGAATTAAAGTTTATTTCTAAAACTAATTTTTTGATATAATAATTTTTAGTTACTTTTGTCTCAGCAATGCAATCATTTACTTATGAAATTCTGGTAACACCTCTAGATAAAAATCTACTTTTGCCCTAATGTAACACATTTTTTATCCTTAAGCATCTTAATCAGTTTATGAATCTGGCCATCCCGTTTAAAGTAAACCTCCCTTTTAAACTCGAAGATTGAGTTTTACTTAAGAGGTGTTGCTATAGCACAAAAAAGTCAAAGGAGAAGTGAGACTTACTCATTTTCAGAGTCACCAAACCATCGAGCTTTGGAGTTACCTGCATTTTTTTATATGATCTAGGCCAGTGTGTTTGAGAATAAGGTCCAGGGATCATGGGTATTGGAATCAAGTGTGACACCTATGCCCGGAGAGGGCTGGGCCTCACCCTCACCTACTAAATCACTCAATAGGGCAGGACTTCTGGACCTAGGCCTGTATCTTCATCTCATGTGGATACTTTTAGAAAATACCAATGCATTGGCCTTATCCCCAGGGATGGATTCAATTGGTCTAGAGCAAGGTCCAGGCATCAGCATTCTTTTCAATCTTCCTGGGTGATTTCATGGAACTGGGTTCAGGAAGTTGCATTTTTACCAAGCTCTGCAGGAAAATCTGACCTGTAGCAATGTTTGAAATCACTGCCCCACTGACTGGAGATTCTGCTTATTCATATTTGAAACAGAGAGGGTAACAACTACAAAGCCAATATTTAACAACAGGAGGCTAGTTTTAGATAATAGGTTCTTTATATCAGCTTAGAAGGGTTCAGCTCATGCCTGGGAACTAGACTCTCTTGGGATGTCGAACATATAAATGAGCCTGATAATTCTCTTCTTGTTTCTCAGTGTATCTCAAAGTTGATGCATGAGCCAATAATTGTGTTTTGTTTTTTTTTTAAAGACTTGCAGAGAATGATTAATTCTTATTACAAGAGGTTAGTAGGTAAACGTGGCCTGTCTATGCTTAAAGACTCATTGCAGCGTGTCATCCTTTACCGGGAAACCTATTCTCAGACACTTTGGATCAATTATCTAATAGTTACAGTNGGGCTCTATGCTTAAAGACTCATTGCAGCGTGTCATCCTTTACCGGGAAACCTATTCTTAGACACTTTGGATCAATTATCTAATAGTTACAGTCTTGGGACTATAGTGCAATTTTCAAAAATAACCCCATTTATATACTGGCTGCAATCTTTGTCATTTGACCAAAGAATAACTTTACCTCTGGTTATTTTTTATTCAAGAGTATGGGTCAAATTGTGCTGGCAAGTCCTCGCTTTGGCTTNTCAAGTCCTTGCTTTGGCTTCTTAGCCAAAAGCAAATATGAAGAGTGAGGGTTTATTTAGTGCAAATGCGAAAGCTGTAGTTAGGTCCCCCCACCACATAGCACACTCACCACCAACTGGAAGGGGGCATGAAGAGTGAGGAAAGCTGGTGGTTTTAAATTTTAGCATTTTGCTGTGAAAGATGATTAAACAGCCATTAACATGTGCACAGGCAGAAAAAGTTTTGTTCTGCAGGGTCACACATCTTATCCAAAGTAACCCCATCTTTGGAAATCAAGTTTTTGGTCGATTGAAAGAAAATCTCTAGATTGTTGGTCAAATCAATTCAAAGAGCATTTGCTATCAAAGGACATGTTATCCTCATCAGCACTTCAGGCCATTTTAATCAGAGAACGATGATCTTTCTCAGAATGTGGTCATTATTCCCATCTTTAAGCCTATGTTAACCACAGGTATTGATTTGCTATATCAGCTGGCCGGTCCTGACAGTGCCCTGTCTCCCTCCCGTGCCTGCCTTCCTGCCACGCTCCCTCAGGCTCTGTCCGTAGCCCTGACATTGCTATTTTATCTTGCCATTGCACCTGCCTGGAGTTTCTCTTGTTAAATCTTTCCTTCTGGCTTTCTGGCTGGTTCAGCTCTGCTCAGCAATTTTCCTACTGCTTATCCCAAAGAACCCTCTTAATATTTCAAATCAAAGTCAATAAAAATCTAACACACACATACATACATTTATATGTTTGTATTTACTTGCAACTTGAATTGTGGTTTGATGGAGTAAGTTCTGCTACTTCAAGGCAACATTTTATTGCCCTGAAGCCAAAGGACCCATTAAGCCCATTGATAAACAATATTCCAGTTGCCATAGGTTTTTGTCTGTACAGTTGATCAATTTTTCCTCGGTTGAAGCCGAGGCAGATGTCTCATCTTTAAAGCAGAGTGTGCAGTGAGGTTTTATTAGCAGGAGAGCTAAAAGCTCTGCATTGCAAATCCTGAAGGCAGAATGGGTTTGCTGCCGGTTCTTTCTGAAAGAGAAAGTTGTGATTCAGCAACTGAGCCCTTGTCAGAGAGAGGACTTTTTCAGGAACTTTGCAAAGTGCCTGATTCATTTTCATCTTTGTATTTTCCAAATGAATGTAATGAAGCCACCAGATTCAACTACAGCTATCCTCTAAATTCAATGGTAGCAGTTTAGAAATCCCTGACAAGCGGGAAAATCAGGGGGAAGTGAAATGAGGTCGAGAGAGCGATGGAATCACATTGTAAAGGCGTTGTGTAGGGCTGTATGTCAGACATCATATACTGTGAACCACAGTGAGGTATGTGTGGTTCACAAAACAGTGATTGGCTCCTCTACACGATGTTCTCTCTGATGTTTTCTGTTCCACTCCACTCCACTCCGCTCCACTCCACTCCACTCCACTCCGCTCCACTCCACTCCATTCCACTCCACTTCATTCCATTAAAAATGCTGGTCCAAGCCATTAGAGTGATTTAAGAACCCAATACTAAGTTACAACTCAGTTTNAAAAATGCTGGTTGCAAGCCATTAGAGTGATTTAAGAACCCAATACTAAGTTACAACTCAGTTTAAAAAGCTTAAAATAGGATATGGTTGAGTAAAATCAGTTTCTGGAGTAGCAATGCTGAACAAAGACAAAGAAACTCCTGTTTTCCCGATGGGAGTCAGTCATCTCCCCATCACTAAATCAGTATCCCATTTGCTAATTCACTGCATATACAGATGATACACAGAACCACACAAAATCAGTGCTCTTCACTCCGCACCTGCCCAGGTGGCTGGGAATTTAATTTGCCCTTGGTGAAGAGATTTGAGTGACTTGCCGATAAAGTTGAGGAGTTAATAGATGTACCCCTAGTGCAGTGGCTCTTAAACTTTGCTACATAATAGAATAATTGGGGA